GTCGTCGTCCGCGTCGCTGAATGGCTAGTCGTCGTCCGCGTCGCTGGGCGGCTAGTCGTCGTTCGCGTCGCTGGGCGGCTAGTCGTCGTCCGAGTCGCTGGACGGCGACCAGCTGGCGTCGGACTCGTCCGAGCGGTAGCACTGCAGCAGATCGGCCGTCGACGGGGGAAGCCTCAGCTCATGCTCGCCATCTCGCGAATCGCCCTCTCTTGAGTCGCCGTGTCTCGAGTCGCTGTCTCGCGAGTCACAGTCGAGCAGGACCTCATAATCGAGCGCGCTCAAGCTGTCGTCATCATCGGGCGAGGAGGCTGGGGAGGCTGAGGAAGATGAGGATGCGGAGGGGGAGTCGTGGCCAGGGCTCCAGGAGGAGTCGCTGCTGTATTGACGGCTGGCCGGGGCGCCGACCTGCTCCACCCAGCGCGGCAGCACGCGCATGCCGCACTCCCGCTGCACCCCCAGCAGGCCTCTCACGGCCGCTTCGACACCGTCCGTACTGCAGAGACACTCACCGCTGCACCTGCAGGTGGCGCCTCTCTTAGCATCGCCGACCGACTGGTCCGCACTGTCAATGCTCGGCGTGGGGAGAGGTGCACGCGGCGCGGCAAGCGTTGTCGGCTTCCCGCCCGGCGCGGCCGACGTGGACGGCGCGTGTTTGCGAGCGAGCCCGCCGGCGTCGATGCAACGCTTCTTTTCTTTCCACGTGCTCCACGGCTCCAGGTGGCGCTTGCGTGGCGACGACGTCATGGCGGGCAGGGGGGCCTTGGTGTCGTCGTCGCTGAGGTCGACCGTGGAGATCTTATCCTCCTTACTCACCTCCACGACAAACTGTACGTCGCTGTCGCTGCTGATGGTTGTGGTCGAGAAGGTGTCGCAGTCTCTGTCGTCGCGCAGCTGCGAACTCGGCGCGTTCGCAGGTGACTTCACGTCAACACCCACCCGCTGGTGTCCCAAGTTACGACCAACCCTGCCACTGTTCGCCGTGCCGCGGCTGTCTATATTAGATGCTTGGTTTCGTCGAGGGGAACACACCGATGCAACAGAATTGAAGCCCGACCTCAAAACATCTCTCAATTCGAATCGCACAGGTTTGTGAGTACGGTTCTCGGTGTTCGCCGCACCTGACCGGCTCTGCTCAGATGAGTCACTGGATAAATCAACAGAGTTTGTGAACGAGGTACGAGAGCTTACAGAATGGTCGGGGCTAGACGTCTCGCATGAGGACGCGCGAGATGAAGACTCGATGCTAGCAGTCTCACCACCTGGAGACTTCTTTCTCTTACGTCTGCTGCCGGCGGCGCTCACACGCGGATGCTTTGACGCGGTTTCATCGCAGGAGTCAACGTCCGATTCGGAAAGGTTTGGCTCGCGGTCATGCGCAGCCGAGGAATAGTGTCGCCGTGCTCTGTCACAGTGCGACAGACGCTCGATTGTCACCCCGAGCGACTCGCGATTCGCGAGCTCGATGGATTCATCCGAACTGAGAGAGCTGAGGGGGTCGCGCGACCGCCGGCTACAGCAGAGCGAATCGTCATCGCACGCGTCTCGCAGGGAAGCGCGTGATTGGCAGCTCGCTCCACTGCTGCTGGACGACAGCTGTATAGTCTCGACCGTGTCCGGAGAGGTACGCAAAGGCGACCTGTGCAAGCCGACGACCTCGAATGAAGCGACCTCATCAGTAGAGGATGCAGTCGAGCGTATCGCATTCACGCGCGTCGCCGTAGAAGTGGCGACTCCTGGTGGATCACCTTCTACTGGTGGCGCCCCCTCGAACTGCGCACGAAAGCTGCACTTGTGCTTTGTTGCTACGGATTTGCTCAATCCCGCGTCACTGTAGCTGTGCAGTGCGTTGCAATCAGGAAGCACACTCGTTTGCTGCTGCTCGGCCAAGGTTGCTGTTGCTATTAGTCGCTCCCACAGCCTCTCCAAAGCATCAGGCTTTGACGAGTCCACGTGCTCATTTTTGGCGACTAGACGAGGGGAAGGAGATTTTCTAGGAGAGTCATGCCTACCTACTAGATGGCTAGAATGTCCCGCGTGTTCGTGCACGCGTCCTTTAGCATCGTTCAGAACGTCATCCCGTGCCGACGTATCACAGCTTGGAGCAGTCACAACAGGCATTCTACTTGATCGATAAAGATCTAGACTAGCGTAACCTTGAGATGGACTTGCATCGCATTGGCGATTCAACCTACTGTGGCACGCACCTGTCGGCACAGAGGGCTCATACTTTGGTCCCTTTGGGCACGTAATAGGTAAGTTTATTGGCCCATACCTTAGGTGCATAGTGGAATAAGTTGGGTTTTTTTTGTACGTATGATCACGCAGTGAACTTTCTATGTTTGTGGGGATATGTATTGGGCTCACGAACGATATAGGTTTACTTACTGGGCTTGCTATCGTTGCTTGGCTATGTAATGGACTGTTTATGTATGCGCGGCTATGGCTCGGTCTCGCTACGGCCGTGGTGCTATGCACTGGGCTTTCCAGGATCGATTGGTCACAACGTGGAGTTATTGGTTGATAACGTAGACTTGTTGGTTGATAACGTTGACTTGTTGGTTGATAACTTGGACTTGTTGGTTGATAACTTGGACTTGTTGGTTGATAACGTGGACTTGTTGGTTGATAACGTGGACTTGTTGGTTGATAACGTGGACTTGTTTGTGAATAAAGTGGACTTTCTGAATTTTCGATTGAGACATATATCGGACTTGCTGGAACTAGAATGCCAGAAGTAGTGTTTGGGCTGGTAGTGTAACATGCTGGACGACACCACTCCCTAGTTACTGTATCTCCTAAAGCTGGGCCACCACGATCAAGAGTTGTCAAACTCGAAGCTGAATTGTCACAGTCTGGTGTCGTATCACCTTCGTGACACAGCGTATTTTCCCTAGTGCATGTCACATTTCGACTCGTTTCTCCACCACCCTTTCCATCGTTGCCCGCCGCTGCTCCGCTCCCTTCACCCACTCCCGTTGTCACGTGCAGCGTCTCTGTGATCGTGCCATCATCGTTGCCGTCTGCTCCTCCCACGCCACTACCAATCATCGTTCGCAGCTGCATGAACTTACTGCTGCACCTGTTCAGGTTCTGATAGACAGCGATCAGTCGCTGGTGGAGGTGGCCTGACGTGTTCAGCACATCCTCCACCGTCGTCACCACGTCGCTGTCACGCATCGCAACATCGTCCGTGTCGCTGCGGACAACGGCAGCAGAGGTCGCCGCGACGACGGACGTGTCGCCCGATAACCGCCGATTCCTGCAGCGAGCAGCACCGGCGTGGGTGCCAGGCGGCGCCCGGTTTTCGCCGGCGAGTCCACCACTCGCTGAGTCGGTTCGGGGCGAGTCGTCAAAGTCGCTGTCTGACCTATGCTCACTCCTTCTGATCGTCTCCGCGTGGTTGGAGGTCGCCATGGGCGGAGGTGTAGAGTGTGATCGATGCTGGTAGTACAGCCAGCCGGCGTCCGGGCGATCCTGCGTGGAGAGACGCCGCGGCTCGCGCGACGTCGAGCTGAACACCCACCAGTCGCCCTGCCTCGCCTCGCCCGCACCACCGACCGTCGTGTCCGGCGACAGGTGCCGGGACATGTTGAGGGCGCCACCGTCCTCAGCATCGCTGACGAACGAAGGCGTCCTCGCGTCCGACCGGTCGTCACGGTTACGCAGCCTCATGTGGAAGCCGGTCTCGTTACGCTGTGACCGTCTCGGCGTACGCTGCAATAAACGAACAAGGCAAGAATTAGAGATTAATCAGAGCATGCGATGATATAAAAGGAAAGCGAATCCTCACTACTGTGTGTGTGTGCGTGCGTGCATGCGTGCGTGTGTGTAGGGACTATTTGTTGCAACATTACAGTTGTGATGATATTGCGACAGTTGAAATTCGATTTGCCGATAATATTGCAATAATTGAAAAACTAATTGGAATGACATTGTTATACTATTTATGTATTATGAAATTGTCTATTATATTGTTGTCACACTTATATGTTCATGTTGGCATACGTGTGAACGTTTTAGTTCACATTAATTACTAGACTGGTACCCTGTCATTCCACTGATCACATGCTCGTGCATAGTGAGTGAGCTAGTTGAATGGACCATGTGTAGATGACTGGGGACCAGTCTTATTATTATTTACAACAATCATGAAAGTGTTGGTAATGGTTTTCAGGCATATTTATGGGAAAAATCACAACTTTTAAGAAGTAAATAAACTAACCTGGTCTTTTAATGTTGCAATTACCGAAAACTCTGAATAGCTCAATGAACTTTCAACAATAGTTGTTAATGCTTTACTTTGCCACTGATACATAACTATCGAGCCAAATGCCATGGCATCGATAGTTCGATTCATTGTTATACTACTACTCACTACGCTGTAATAGACATCCTTTGCCATTCAACTACTGTTGCTTATTTAGAACCTTGCCTCATATGCTGGGGTACATTCCCCACTCTCTTCCTCATCCGTGGTGTGAAATACATCTCTGATGCTGTCACCATCTGAGAAGGTATGCTCTGTCTGAAATTCAGTCAGAAAGATGTTAAACACGAATATGATGTTTAGAAGCATTTTAGAATCCACATACAAGACATAAATACTGTACATGACAAGACAGAAAACAGAAATTATATTATGTAAGTATATCAGAGGATGAGAATAAAGTAGCACCATGTTGTACTCACACAAGCTTGCCTATTGTTCTATAATCAAATCTAGTTTTACACACAAGGTGTTGTCATACAAAATAAGGACTCCTAATACAAATTTCACAACCAACGACACAATAAACGATATCTTGCTGAGGTCCATCAGTGAAGTTAGCTGCCAGTCTTTGGACATGTTATGATGTCATACCTCATTTGTAGTGTTAAGAAGAGCGTCAATGTCAGAATGGCCTCGCGTGGAGTAAGGCGTGCCAACCAGAGAGTTTCTCCTACTATCTGATACAGGAGAACCTGCAAGAGCCTTGATGATCTCCTCTTGTTCTGTCAAAATACCAAATACCAAATACTGTCCATCTTAGAAAATGCTACCTGACCAGATACTGACAATAGATTAAGGTATTATGGCTTTTATTAAAACACCATAGCATCCTGATACTACATAAACTGCATAGACCATTATGATGTTGCTAGGAATGTACACTCAGCAAACATAGTTGATATCGATGGAGCACCATTTAAAGCATACAATTGCAAAATGAAAATACTTTAATAATTAATTAAATACTTTACGGAATTCGGCCCTTTAGCAACTTATTTTACAATAAGTTTCCTTGAGATTGGGATGTGGATGTAATAAACTAGTTAGTAAATTATTTATAATATAAAAAAGAACCAAAGTCCTCAGTTTTCAATTTTGTTCAAAGGTACTTAATTTTGAAGCATCAAGTCTAACCATACAGTTTAAGCTACCTAACCACTCCTGCCCAATTATTTCATTGGTTAGCAATAAGTGAATTATATCACCTTTCACTTTCTTTTTTAGTTCTTCTATACAATCATGTTCTTCTAGTGCATTGAATGGAATGGTCAGATCACATCCCTTTTGACATGAAACAACTCTGCAAAATCAAATAAGAAAATCAATAACGTGGCTTTCATAACAATGGCAATAAATGGTCTAATGATAAACAGCAAATAACTGTTATTAAGGCACCTGCACTCAATTTTCATTGATATCGTCAGCTATGAATAAGTGGGGTGGTATAGTGATACCCTCCACCGCTACTGCCAGCACTGCCAACACTGCCGTCACCCACCACCACCCTCCATCACCATCACCACCAGGGCCGCTAACACCACTTCCAGCACAACATCACCACCACCACTACCAGCACACCACAGCCAACACCACTGCCACCGCCACTACCAGCACACCACAGCCAACACCACTGCCACCGCCGCATCTCCACCACCACCGTCTGTAATATTATAGTAACTGTTTACTATATAATTGAGTATGGCTTTGACATACTCATAATACATTTGCGTTATAAAAGTATTGGAATAATAAGTATTATAACAGTAAAATAACATTAGAATTTGACTATTCATGTCGACTGACTCTTTCTGTCTGTGTATCGCTACACGTATCGTATTGTGACCCTAGTGTATCGTTTCACCTAGAGCTAGGGTATACCCACTTTTTTGGCTGAAAAACCATTCCTAGGAAAGCAACTCCAATTATATAGGGAAGTCAATAGGACGACATGACTCACATTACAAAGGTTTTTTTCTGAAACACATTACTTTTCTAGCATGGAGTATTACCACATCTGCAACTATTCTTCTTCGACACCAGTAAAACTCCACTTATATTTCCTGCACAAAGTCTAATGCATGAAATATTTTCGAGTAATATTGCTCCCATTACCTATAACAGCATTCCCTCTTGTGGCTCGCCATAGACATTTGCAGGTGGGATTCAAAGCAGCCATTGTTTTCACATGTTATTTTTTCATAAAGACAGGTTTTCATATGAGCCTCATGAACCTCAATCCGTAGTAGTTCCTGCACATAAAGAACATACAAGCATTCTAAGATGACGATTACATAGCAATTGAATAAAGCTAGGTATAATGATTTAGTTTACAAACAATCTACCAATATTGCATAATTGCTTTCAATTATTGCCACCATTTCTTCAAACCGTTATTTATTAGCAAACTATAGCATGGGCATTACATTATAATTAATATTACTTACCTTGCATCCTTTCTCGAAATTATCACACTTGATGAGTAGTTTACATATCATGTTCTGTATTATTGGTACTACAGGTTTGATCTCGCATCTGAATACCAGACCTCGGCAGTGAGGACAGGTATTCTGGTCTCGCAACCAGACACTTATGCACTTTTTGCAGAATACATGACGACACGGGGTCTCTGTGGGACTAGAAAATATGAAGACATCTATTAGAAAGAAAAATTAAAGTTAAAAATACTCCTAGTGCTAATTACTAAGAACTAAGTAACTATAATATATAATTAATTACACTGAATTTGTTTTCAATCCTACTTTAGGACCCCAAAATTCAATTATGTATTTTGAATTAGGGTTAGGTTAGGGTTGAGGAGAAAATAAAAAAGTTAGATATCTAGGGTGATGTAATTGATCTCAGGGTTGACTAATGTACATGGGTCCCAATGTAGGACTTGTCCCAAACTAGTCCCAATATAATACCAGGAGTGAATGAAAACAGAGAAGCGTACAAGGCTCAATTATTAGAGATTAATATTATTTACTAGCCTTATTCTGCCTATGATTTCAACAATAGAAAACTGATATTTCAATATAACAAGAGCCGCAGAGCGTCTGGGCTCATCTGAGGTCTGTTGCTACGGTTTAGTTATAAACGTAAAATTTCAGTCGTGCGTAGTGACACATTTGTTAGGCGCAGATATGCAGATACGTTAGATTAAGGTTTTCTTATATTAATGCCAGTTACATTACCATCAAGGTGCAGATTTATTTCATGCAAATTCTAGAGGAAAGCAATGTATGACTAATGCCCTTCTATCATTAGTCAAGGCTCGACACTAGCGCGTGGCCCGGTGGCCCGGGGCACACCAAAACTTGATTCGGGCCAACCAAAATTTCAAAAGTAAAAATTTGGTGGCCCGATTGGGCCACTAAAATTTCAAGTGTCTATGTGATAAAAATAATTGTTTCTTACGTGCTAATCTCATTCAAAAGAGAGCGAGCAATTCGCGGAGCGAGGGCACACGTACGCACGTGCAGCATTCTACCGCGGGCATACACGGGCGCACGGTTTATCCTTCTACTGCGGCTGCAAACAAAGCCACGTGTATTGTGTTAGACTGGTATGCGGCCTCACGCTCTGCTACGACAATGTAGCACGCTCTGCGACGAACAGTTTGGCCGCGAACCAGTCTAGCCAGAGGTCAAATCTGAGCAGGCGCATATTTGCGCAGACAATGCGTCTAGACATATGCCTGTCTGCAGTGTACTGTGGAGGCGATGTAAAATGAACGCGAGCGATGAGAGTTTCGAAGGCAAACAATTGTCATAATAAAAAAATGATGAAATTTCTTCCTTTTTTGATGTATTTTGTTCAAAATGTTAAAAAATACGGGACACACATGCGTACCGGAAGGGTCGGTAACGGCACGCGGGACACATGGGCAAAATGCGGGACGTCTGGTCACCCTGATTGCTAGCTAGCTGCACTGGTGGCTCACTGTTTCGGATCCGAAGCGAAACTGGGGTGTTTGCTATCCCCCGGCGGCGTGGAGGGAGGTCACGTGATAACGTTGACGTGACGTTCAAACGTTAACCCTAACGAAACCCTCCACTCCAACACCACCAACACCTAACCCTCACACTAAATATGATGTGTCGGCGGCGCTATATATCAGGGTTCATAGTAGTAAACCACATGTTGAAATACAGGACTTATAAGACCTATTCTGGAGGCTAAAATAAGACTTTTGTACGCGAATTTCTGATAGATTCACTGACTATTATAGTACACTAATAATATTTATACACAATTGCACAGCAGATTTAATTATTCCAGCTTATAAAAATGGTCCTTTGGCAAAAAATAAGGACTATTAAGTACTTTTCTAAGATTTCACCAAAAAAAAGGAATACTAATAAGGGCCCTTATTTTATTTTTGGCAAAATAAGTACTTATAAGACTTTGAAAGACCCGCTACGAACCCTGTATATCTAGGCATTGTGATCCCACAAAAATTAAATCTATGGTGTGGGGACAGATATCATGATGCAAAAAACCCTAACCCTAACCCTAATCCTAACCCTAACCATAACCCTAACCCTAACCCCTGTCCCTAAACCGAATCCTAACACTTCCAACACTAGTGCTGCCACGTTGCGGTCACCTCCCTCCACGCCCGGGGATAGCATTACCCAATTCGCCAGCGTTCGAAAGTTCGCGTAGAATAACTGAACTATTCCATGAAGATGATCAGTATTTTAATCCGAAGTGTAATATTAGTGCTTTGTAAGTTTATTTATGCATTTTCTCTGTCTCTTTACGCAACGAAAATATTGAACTTAGTCTTAGACATAGCTGCTTTTTTCTTTTTAAATGCATGCGTACCCAGGCTACTTTGTTGATATAATTATAGTTCTACTTTATCTTATTAAATCGGCAATATTTTATTTTTACAGTTTCAAAGCCTGCCAGACATTTTACTTTCATGAGATTAAATGTATATGTTTTATTTTAACATGAAAAACCAATGGTTTTGTTTTATTACAGTTACTTGTTTTAATATTTGCATGCTCTGTGACTTTGATCTTCTTGAAACGTCTGAACTGATCGATAGCATGTGCACGCGCGCGTGTTTAGATAAATAATGAGTGAAAGTAGAAAAATGGTATGCAAAGATTCTGGTGAAAATTTGATGCGTTGGAATGGATAATTCAAATGTATGCCTCATCATCAATGTCAGTGTGTGCCATTGTGTGGGTGTTTGTTTAAAGACTTGTGCAAGTGCATCAGATGGCCCAATTTTCAAATAATATACAATACGAGATTGAAATAAAGATTTATAATGTTTTTCTTTGTTTTTTTTCGGGCACCCAGATTTCATTTTCGGGCCACCAAAAATTGAAAATCAATGATTTTGGTGGCCGATCGGGCCACTGAAAAAAAAAGTTAGTGTCGAGCCTTGCATTAGTGTACAGCAATGTTAGCAATGTCAATAACTGGATGGCTGAAGATCTCAACAAAATATTGGTAAGTGGAGATAGCTTTTAGTTTACACACAGATTCCTAAGTCACAGGATTTCCTTCTAGTGTCAGAGATTCCAAAGTATTTCACATGTTTTGACAAGAACTTCAAAATTACAGACAAAACATCAATTGTTGGTCTTGTGAATGCTGTAACTGCTGAACCAACATACAGTCTTCTTGCTGAGTGAGATAGCTTACAAAGCTTAGATGCATCTAACCCATATGCTCTCATTTGTCTTGATTGCTATGCATCTGCAGTTTTTCTAAACAATGGTAAATATTTCATATTTGATTCTCATGCTCGCAATGACCATGGGCATGGCTTACCAGCTTCTAAATAATTAAGTTACAGATCAACGTAATCATATGATATCAGCCTGACATGCCTGAGGGCGTAGCATGTCGGGTCCTAAAAAACCTAAGAGGCCGAAGGAGCAATTAACCTGATTGGCTAAAACCCCTGTCTATAATAAGCAGACTCGTTCCGGTTCTGGTCCACTATACAGTAGCCTATGTATATGACTAGACAATGTACGAAGTTGACATGCTTTACACACGGAGCGCGTATATGTACTAATACAAGCAGAACTACAGTGTATTTCATTACATACATACATGTGTATCTTTAAAAACTTGCTTTTAACTAAGTATGCACCAGAATGCACAATTTCAAGCTGAAAAATACAAAAGCTCCCTGGTGTGGGACACACCCTCCCCCCGCTAGGTCGCTCCGCTCCCTCGCATGATCTTACTCTCAACTCTAACTCAATGTTGGCAGCCCTGCAATAATGTAACTCAACATATTATATAGAATATCTTAGGCGTCGTTCACAATTATCAAAATTTTTACAAGCGTACAAAGCGTACACTTTTTCGAGACCCCCCCTTCCCCCCTAAGTGTACGGAAAAAAATTTTGATTTTTTTTCACACTATTCCACATAGAATAATAAGAATATACATGTATATGAATTACATGCAAAACCGCCATCGTGCCGGTTGTTTACGCTGCACTTGGCTGCTAGCTAGCTAGCTCGGTTCGTTCGTTCAGCGGGCCCGTGTGGTGCGCGGGCCGGCCGGGGCTCAGCGCGTCGCAGCGTGAGGATGCGCGCGATGCCGGCTGGGGCGCGCGGCGTGGGAAATGGATCGACATTTCTCGGAAATGCTGAAAGCGTACGGCGGGCATTGACCCCCTCCCCCCAGCGTACTGTTTGTACGCTTGTGAAAATGTTGATAATTGTGAACGACCCCATATCACTTATATCTTAGCACTATATCAGAGATTCTTCAAGACCTGTTGTAGTACGCATGTGCACATTTCACAATTCTAACCAAAATTGCACAATGTGCCCATTTCCATGTGCTTATCTGCTGGACTAACAGTAGCCACTCGATCCATACTCTTGTTGGGTCACATTATTGTATCTGTGTAAAATAGGAGCACCACCATGGATCATTGTGTGTTTTGGTCGTGCGATCGTTTGGGGCCAATTTGGGCATGTTGTTGTGGGCAAGCTGGTTTAAGCATAGAGATGATGTCCAGGACGGTGATAGGACAGAATGATGTTTATTACTGGACATGCTCTCTATCCTTGAGCAGCTGAGGCTAGGGTGATTTTTTATTCAATAAATTATTGTGCCACGGACTACGTGTTCTCCGCCATGGCCCATGCTGTAGATTCTTCTACTTTCATATGTTGTAGTATGCCCCTGTACTGTAGCGGGAGCGAAGCCGAAACGGCGAAGGGGCTACATCGGTGATAGCTCCAAGAAACGGTCTTTGCTAGGGTTAGAAGACCGTTTCAAATTCTTGCGCATAAAAACGTGTAGTTGGCTCGGTATCGAAACATCGCCACAGCTAGCGTCACATGTAACAGCTCAAACGAATCTATAACGCAGTGGCTACGGGTACG